AGAGWCACAAACAACGAGAAAAGAGGGAATATTTCAAACTGCTTCAGACCTTTCTTTTCTTCTCACAGTCTGTAAAACGTCGTTGCGCAACTCTGGGTTTTTTGCAAACAGGAAATCATACGATGTGAATCACACTCTTRATAATAAAAGAGAAGCTTGTAAGTGGCGGCTTCACCTCACAAAGCAACACTTACATCTGAACTGTAGAGCAAGCATATCAAAGAAGAAACAGATGCCAGCCCGTTGAGGAATGCTGACTCAGCTGTTTTCCTTCTTTCTTTCCTTTTTTTCTCCTTACGGTTTTTGAAAATCTGCTCACTTCTGCACGAGTTTGTAGGAGGCAGATTTTGGGGTCAATTATTCACTGGAGGATATCTTGATTTGACGTGTTTGTCTCATCTGTTTAAAGTGCTGTGGTTTACTTTGGCCTGATTTTTCTCCAACAACTGGAAGCTGTTTTCTCTTTTCTTTTTTTTCCTTTTTTTTTTATTACTAGTCTCAGAATGGCCATTTGGAGACTCAAGTTGTGGTGTTTGTTGTTTCATTAATTATTTATTTACTTATTATTTTTATTTTAACCAGCTGTATTGACACTAAGCAAGAAATTCTCCTGTTTTATTTTTTTATATCATTTCCCCATTTTAAGGTGTAAGTTAAAGGGTTATTAAAATGCGGAAAGATAAATATGTTCAAAATAAACATATTTATTAACAGCACCTACAGTATCTGAAGCAGTTTGCTAACTTTTTTTTTTTTGCTTGTGCTTTTTTCGAGCAAAGGGTTTATGTTCCCAAAAGACAGGGTCAATTCTAAAATAGGCAGCAACTTCTTTTTTTTTCCTTTTCACATTAAAATATTGTTTGTAGTGATCATTTTATGGTCACATGGGGAAATTGTAATGGAAAGATCCTTACAGACCTGTTGTTTAGATCAGATTATAAGACATTGATTTGACTTGATGAAATCAACTTTATCTGTTTCAGTCTGCTCTTCTGGTTATCATAAGATAGAGATGTTTTAGGACCAGGACAAGATCTGCTAGGATAATCACTCCCGTCATTGTAATTCATCTGTCATTTTTCTTTTTTCTTTTCTTTTTAGCCTAGGCAGCTGGGAGTGATATCATGATCTGATCTGGTTTAGTTTTGGTCAGACTTTTGTTTCTTGGAGATTTCAACAATGTTTTGTTCATTTAGCTAATTTTATCATCTAGATTCAAGAGTCAATCATACACAGATGAAACATGTTTCCCCGAGCAATGAAATTCTTACTTTGCCGACCACAGTGAACACCAAGAGACAACCAGACGAAAAAGAACAAGCACAAGGATGCTAAGAAGTATTAAGGGATAAAGGATAAAAGTAAGGAGACTAAACTAGAGATAATAACATCAAGAAAGGGAACAACACAATCAGTGTTTAACGTGTCAACTTGTTTCAAGTGTATAGCTACCCTTTTACTATGTTTATCTTTTAACTTTTCGACTTCTCGAAATCTGCAGTTCTTTTGTCTTATTTAGCTGTAATGGTTTTTTTTTTTTTACTGTTAGCTTCTATCTACATTTTGGCTATGTTTAGCTGTTTGTTACCACTACCATTTTGCTTTTAGCTAGACTTTTGCTACTTTTAACTATTAGCTGAGTTTTTGAGATTCTAGCTAATAATTTGCTACTTTTAGCGTTTAGACAGACTTTTGGTACTTAGACTTTTTAGTTAATTTATTTTTGCTACTTTTAGCATTTTAGCCTTTTGATAATGTATAACCTTTTGCTACTTTTATTGTTTACCTAGAGCAGGAGTGTCAAACTCATTTTCACTGAGGGCCACATGAGCGTTATGGAGGCCCTCGAAGGGCCACTTGTAATGAACTTTGATGTTTCATGTTTAACTTTGACTAAACAGTGTTTTAACACGTCCTCTTTTAAACACTGATAGGAACAGAGGAGCCCAAAGTGGGGCCCGCGGGCCAAATTTGGCCCACCAAGCCATTTGATTTGGCCCACCAGCAGTTGACATTGTTACTAGGTTGTAACCTGTCGTCCTATGTAGAAAAAGTTTTTCCACTTTGTCATTTCATCCATTGGCTCATTGACTATAAGGGGCTGTGGTACAGATAGTCTTCACTCATGGTTCTGACTTTATCTTTGATATATTAAGATTAAATATGAAATGTGAAATACAAGTACAAAGGAGCATATAGATTATATTTAACCCCACATGTAGATTTGCACACTTTATAAGGCCAGAAAAACTCATATTTTATCAATTTATGAAATTTCCCATGAGCCTACTTGAGGATATGGCAGACTTTCTCCAAGTACCCAGACTAAAACAAAAGCAGGCCACCACACTGGCTGCTAGCTTAATCGTTACAAAATAAAGGACTTTACTAAAATAGTATTTGTATTTCATATATTATATTACTGCATTTGGCCCGCAGCCTCGGATAGATTCTCATTTTGACCCTCTTGGGGAAAATGTTTGGGCGGCCCTGGTTAAGAACTAAGTGTACCACTGACTAAATCGGTAATAAATACAGAAATATTATTAAAATTAAAACAAAAAAAACTTTTTACTCACTGATGAGTTTCTAGTGAGTTGCTGCATTATGGCAGATTTAGTTTATGTTTGATGCTGACTTTAAGCAGCTTATTTTCAGACATTAGTACTGTGCTATCCAACTAAATTGCTCAGTTACTTCAAGCCAACAGCTCAGGGACAGGAATTTATTTTTATTCCAAGCCCACGGAAGCAGGGTAATTTATTTTTACTAAATTAATTTTGTTGCATTTAACCATAAATTTAACCTCTACCATTGATATAAGAAACAAATTTCATGTTAAGTATAAAAAAATGGGGGGGCGGTGGAGGGGACCCCCCCCCCCCCCAGGCCTTGTGTTTGACACATGTGACCAAGAGTTTTTCTGCTTGTACATTTTTGCTACCACTTCAACTTAGCAAATGTTAGATTGAAGCTATAGGCCTACCTTTTGGCTATAGCTTTTAGCTATTATTTTGCCACTTTTAACTAGAAAAAATGCTACAATAGCTTATAGTTGGGCTTGTCCATCTTTTAGCTATAGTGTTTTGCTAGCTCTTTTTAACTATCCTGCTTATTTTTAGCTTTCGGCTTCTTCAGCATTCAGCTCTCAGCCATCATCACACTGAATTTTCACAGAAAATGCAGTTTGCTTGTTAGACTGGCTGAACTGAAAGGAAAGTTTTAGGAAATTTCCTCTTTAGCATTCGAACATATCGGAATAAGAGCGATTTGAACGTGATAAAAACTTGTTTGAACTTGTCCGTTAAAGACTGGGTGTCTGAGAGCAAGCGTGCTGAAAATCTCCACCATTCTTTAGCTGCAAGTCAGACTCTTACAGCTGTTGCTTTAAATGTCATACTTCTAATGAGGAAGTGAGACCATGTTTTTTGGTTTGTTCTCATTTCACTATGAATCACTCTTACTGATAAACAATAAAACCGTTACACTCCCAGACGTTGATTTCCTTCTACTTGATTTTTTTAAAGCCTTTTAAGGAGCAGCTGTTGTTACGTTGTAGCTCACCACCATCAGTGGTGAATGTCCATATTAATGAGTGAATGATTGAAGTGTAAAGTGCTACGTTCCGGCTATTTACCATTTAAAGGAAATATGTCAGGAAGGCTTAAGGACTGTGGAAAACACATGGTTCAGCATCTTCCAACCCACATCTCCATATGTTCCTAATTAGTTTCAATTTGTTGACATTACATTTTATTAGACTGCAACAGTAATAAAATGTTTCTTGTAACAGTATTTCCCCCAAACCTAAAATCAAACCCTTAAATGTCAACTGAACAACTTCATTAGTGTATTTTACGTAGCGATGTGTGTGTGCTTGTTGGAAGAGCTGTCTGGACAAGTTGTTTCATATCTGACTCTTTATGGGCAACAAGGTGTGTTTGCCAAATGCTATAAAAGATCAACATCCTGTAAAACCTTTTTTTAAAATGCTACCAAGTTATTTGTTTATTTTAAAATTAATAAATTCATCTTTTTGAATGAGTCATTTGGATCCAGGAAACTTCAACAGTTAGCAAGAAAATTTCTTTTTTCTTTCTTTCTTTCTTTTTGGATTAAAGTTCTTAAAGATTCAGACATAAAACACTATTCTAGAACCAACAATAAATAATCCATATATATTTCTTGACACTTTCCCTTTTATGGAAGCCCATTTCCGCCACCCTGATAAAAAATAAATAAAACTTGTATCTCATAATAGTGACTTAGCTATCTAAGATAGTATCTCATAATTATGAGATAGCTAATTCATAATTATGAGATGGCTAAGTCATAATTATGAGATTGCTAAGTCATAATTATGAGATACTATCTCATAATTATGACTTAGCTATCTCATATGAGATAGCTAAGTCATAATTTTGAGATAGTATCTCATAATTACGACTTAGCTATCTCATTATTATGAGATACTATCTCATAATTATGACTTAGCTATCTCATAGCTAAGTCATAATTATGAGATAGTATCTCATAATTATGACTTAGCTATCTCATAATAATGACTTAGCTATCTAAGATAGTATCTCATAATTATGAGATAGCTAATTCATAATTATGAGATGGCTAAGTCATAATTATGAGATACTATCTCATAATTATGACTTAGCTATCTCATATGAGATAGCTAAGTCATAATTATGAGATACAAGTTTTATTTTTATCAGGGTGGYGGAAATGGGCTTCCATACCCTTTTAACTTAAAGCACACAGTGCAGAAGCTTGAACTAAATTGGTTTAAAACTTTTGCACTTAGCCTACTAATTTAAACCATTATGAAAGTAGCCTACTTGACATGACTGATTAGTGATTTGAGTGTACTAAAAGCCTTTGGAATCAAGTGACTTGAACATGTCGACCCACCTTTTAGAAACCCCGTTGGAAACCCCCCCCCTCTCCGAGACCGGAAGTGGGTCAGAGTCATATGAAACAGCGGCGGGGACACGCAGACTAGTCGCGCGCTGAGTAGTGGAGGAGGCAGGACTGTGTGGAACGCGAGCTGCTGTTCCCGTCTTTGTTTTCACTCACGCCGCTTCTGAACCGAGTCAAGAAAGCGTCGAAATCCAGAATTTAGTTGAGCCTTTCGTTTTGCGAGTGTTTGGTAAGGAAAATATATTTATACAGTTTATATGCTCACGTTGTCTTTGTGCTCTTCCGTTCTGTCACTCCTAACTTTTGGAACTGGGATTCAGATTTATCCTTCAAGCACCTTGTCGATGCTCCGAAGCGGTTCTCTTTATACACGCTTTAAGCTCATTTTAGCTCGACTTTGAACGAAATAATCATATAATGTCACGCGCGTTAGCAAAACATAGCAATATGTAAAGTGAGTAGTGTTTTTTCCGACGGTTCTTGAACTCATCACGTATAGGCTTTTTTTTTTTTAGCTTATCTTGCTAAATAAGGCATATTATTTTTATCTTTAACATAAGATTATTGTGTGTTTTGCTCGTGTCTTGGCGTGTGTACGTGTTTGTTTGTCTGTTAGCAAAATATCTCATCGATTACATGATGGATATTAAGGATATTCTCAGAAAGGAATCATTGGATGTACATTTACAACTAAATAACATTTGTTGTTGATCCAGTTACGCGTTAGCTAACTAAATGTAAAATAATAATACTACTAATAATAATAATAATAATAATAATAATAATAAAGGCTATAATTCACTCAATTTTACAAATAGTGCGCAGAAATTTGGTGTGGTAGTAGCTTAGCGTAATCCCTTTATATTTAGCAAAATATCATGATTAGATTAAGGCAAAACTCTCAGAACTAATCATTAAATGGACATCTACGTCTCAGTCCAGTTCAAGATGACACTTCATAAAACACAAAAAGCCTGTAACTTTGCTCGTTTTACATGTCGTGAGCCAAACTTTGGTGCCGTGTTGGAATGTGATGCAATGTGGTGATTTTTATTTAATTTWATTTTATTTCTTGTTTCAGGCTGATGAGGTCTATGGGCATCATCATGGTCCCTGCAGCAGTTCTGAAGCTGTACGCCATCGGAACGCTACTTTCTGTCATCGCAGTCCTGTTTGAGCTAGGGAACTCCGTGGGTGGGCTCATGTACTCCCCGGACTACCGCTACATCAGTGAACCGAACCATCAGACGCACGGGGAGCTCCACTCCTGCRAGCACCTGCAGCGACGGTCTGTAAATAAAAACGTCGGCTCCTGAGGGACTGGTCAAAGCTGAACTTAAAAGGATTGCCGGGAAAAGAACGGGACCCTCGACAGGAAACTGTTGCAGCTAATCTGTTTCAGAGGAACTACGTGTAATCGAATGTTACAGCACTACTGAAGAATTTGCACTAAATGGGTTCCTGAATGAAAGGACGGATCAGAAAAAGAACAGTTACTTTTGGCTTTCCGAGTCCACTCGATGGACCGGTCCTGACAAATCAGAGCCATATGGAAAGATAAGGAGAATCTGGGTGTGCAACAGCAGCTACAAATGACATGTAATGGCTTTAATTATTTGTGATGAAAGGAATGTAGTTCAAAGGAATGACGGAAAGCTGGACGACGGTGTTTAATAGAACCTTTTGATTTGTTGCCCAGCCTTTCCCACCTACGCCAGACATGTAAAGAAATGAGTACTTAGAATAATAAAACTTGTGTAGTGTGTCATCGCTTGCTAAACTTCTGACACAACTCTTGACATCTCAGCTGATTTTATGCCAAACTTTAGCTTTACTTTGGAATAAAAAAAGAAATGGTATCTGTCGCCAAGTGTTTTCCTTTTCAAAATAAATGTGTTTTAACTGGACTCTTTTTGAAAGCGTTTATTTAATTTAACTTTAATTACTCTTTAATATATATTTTTAATGTTCCATGGAGCCACAGCTTTTGGTTTTGAAGTTCTTCGTAAATAAGCTGAATCATCATTTCACCACAGGGCTGATAGTTGATGATACATTGTAGGCTGAGGTGAGTCATGGGGCTTTGTATGCTCTGACATTTTTTTATCAGGAACTCATTAACTCAGTTTCAGCAGATTAATTCCTTGACATGTTCCTTGGRGACATCTGATGGCAAACAAGAAAACCAGGAAAAGGATTCTATTTTCGGGACATTCTGAAAGTGAATTCTTTGCCGACCACATCTTTTAAATCTAAATGTAACATTCATGCCAAATATGATTGTATTTAAACTTCTGTCGCTGGTTGATGAAGCAATAAAAGAGCTCAGTTCATGAGATTGAAGGCAGATTTCGCAATTTGTTGGCGTCACGGTGCCAAATGCGTAAATCACTTTTACCTCTGAATCCTTATTTACAAAATCAGACGTCAGTCTTTCAGTTTGCTCTGCCTTACCTTGGACTCATCCCTCAGAAAAAGAAAATAAAATACTTCCAAATAAACTCACATCTTACGCAACATGTCAAATGTAAATACTTCCAAATAATCTCACATCTTACGCAACATGTCAAATGTAAACTATCCGCGCCAAACGTTCGGATAATTTCTTTTGGAAGGAAGTTGAAGTTTTACCTAATGCGTCAGCTAAAGCCAAACCCGTTATATTTTGCCAGTAGCACCGCTGTCATGTTTCCTGTAAGTTAATTGCTTTAAAAAACACTCTTAGCTGTTTATGTTCCAGCTTTCAAGTCACTCAGAACTGCTGAAACAYGCGTAAAAGCGCGTGCGTAAAAGTCTCCCGAGGCACTTTGGCACACCCAGATGGAGTTGGAAGACATGAGTTCGCACCAGTCTTTCTTTTTTATTATTACTATACAAATTTTCTACATCTATTATAATAAATTTAAAACTGGTAAAAGTGAGAAGATATTTTAGGCTTTTTTTTTTTGTGCTTTTTGGGTAATTTTGCGCAAAGACGCCTAATAATTAAATGTTTTAAAAAAGAACATCTCCTCTTTCCTTTTTTTTCTTGTCCTAAAATATGGTTTCCCATATCTTGCTGAAGTGTTAATCCACCCCGCAGGTCACATGGATGCGGGCCAGCGCACCTGCAGACAGTGGACGCGCCACTTAACGCAGCACTTTTTTATGTTAATGACCCGTCCGAGGACTTTCCCATACTCCACTCTTACCTTCAGGACGCAACACTTTTTTTTTAAATAGCAGAATCACACATCAGTCTCTGGAAGTCCTTTGAATTTCCCTGCTGGTGGGGGTCTTTTGATAGGATGTGGAAAACTGGGGTGTTCATTGGCGCGTGCGTTCTGCTCCTTTTCCTCCATCTGGGCGCAGAGAGCAGGMGCTCACGGGGGAAGTCGGTGACTTTCCATCGGAGTCGGAGCAAAGCGCGCCCCAGGAGGGAGAGCAGCAGCTCCTCCGACACTTGGAAACCTTCTCACGGTCCTGCCTTCAACTCCTGTCGGATCCCACTCACCACGGCCGAGCACGAGGTTCTGGATGACAACACACACGAGGTGAAGTGAATCAGACTCATAATGTGTGTCTGTTATTCTGCATCAAAAGAGCCACCTGTTCACAAGTAATCAACTATTTGAGAGTGAGCAATAGAATTCTACACATTAAACTATAATCTGGGGGGATTAGAATTATGACTATTTCTCAACCACTTATAGACAATTACCTAATTTTATCAACGAYCTGACAGAGTGTAAAAGATAAAATGCAATGACTTTTTCAAATCTAAAAAAAAAATCAGTTTTTCATTCACAATGGAACAAACATAACCTAATAAATTTGATTTTTTTTTTAATTAACGTTATTTTGAAAGTGATGGCAAAATAAAAGCTAAAATAAAAGTTGGAAGCCATGAAGCATCCCCTTTTAAAACAACAATCGGCAAACATTTAGGACCTGAGAAGAACAGGTGTTCACCTTCTTCGCTGAAAGGCAGCACGCGTTGTTTTAAAACCTGCATGCGTTTCTGCATTGACTCTGCATGCCATAAGCACTAATGCACACCCATACCATCAAAGAGGCAGGCTTTTGATTACAGGTTTAATGATGGTGTCATTTCCCCAAAAAAAAAAAAAAAAAAAAAAAAAAAAAAAAAAAAAAACCATCAGATTTTGATTTCTGTCCACAGGACAGTTTTTCCTTTTGCCTCGGTCCATTTTACAGCTTCCTGTTTGCATGGTAGAGCTTTAACCGGTGTTTGATGATGAAAGAAAACTGTGGTTACAGACAACGACTTGTGGAAGTGCTCCTGAGCCCATATGTTCAAAACAAAATCAGTCCTGTTTTTAATCCGGTGGCCGCTGAAGAGCCTGAAGCCTGTCTTGTTCTCTGTTAATCAAACTTGTTGCAAAAATGCTCCTCAAGCTGTTTCTTTTTTGTAAAACTTTCAGTTCCTTTTGTTGCTCATGTCCCAGCTCCTTTGAAATGTTGCCTTTTTTTWAACCCAAAAACTGTATTTCTTAGGCTAAATGTTTATAATGTTTACTTGGTTTCATATTGAATAAATTCTGGGATTTGCGAACAGCTTTCTGTTTTTTGTTTACCTTTTACACAACCAACGTTTTTTTGAATTGCAGTCCCAAGCTAACAGTGTTTGGGAATGACTGGAGGTGAAACTAATAGAACAAAAGGAGTTTAACAAAGCTGATTTAGTTTTATTGAATAAGCTCCCTTGTTTGAGCCTCTCCGGTTCTTTTCTTTTCCTTAGACAGGGTTTAACGGTGATGACGGCTCCTATGTGATCCTCACGTGGGTGGGCGACGGCACAGGAGTGAGTATCATGTGTCTCTCATTCTGAAACATGAACATTTCACCTCCACAACATTGTTTCCAAAGAAAAAGGACTCCGGAAACTCCTTTCATAAAAAAAAAAACTATATCAGAAAGAAATATTTTGTTTGACTCCTAAACTAGTTTAATTTCTTAGGTGATTCTGGTGCTATCCACAATCAGCTTTCCTCTTGATTCTTTTCTGGAGGGAGGGTCCTCACGACTTTACAGGAGGTGGGCCACCATCTGACTGGCTGCACATTTACCCAGCACTGTGTAGACTTTTGTTGAAACCCTTCTTTTTTTGTTTCCCCCCATCAGTACGGATTACGGCAAGTCCTTTCATGACATCTCCCAGAGCATCAACCACACCTTCATCAAAGAGGAGTTTGGAGTCAGTGTTGGACCGGGAAGYTCGGTCAGTTGATGCCAGTCTTCATTTTGTTAGTAAATTAGGAGCTGTGCTGACCACTAATTTTGGATTTACGTAACCATGTYATGTTACCTGGTTCCACTTAACTGAGTTGAGTAAATTCAAAGCAATATACCAGTTTTTAACCAAAGAACATGAGTATGTTGCTTTGAATTTACTCAACTTAGTTAAGTGGAACCAGGTAACATAACATGATTAAGTAAATCCAAAATTTCATTTTTAAAGTATGTTTGAAGGAGTCAAACTGGAGATAAGATTTAAGGTGTTGGTGTTGCCTGAGGGTCCTTATTTGGTGCTGCTACACTAAAAAGACTGTTTTCTTGTTGCCTAATCAGCTTTAAAGTAGTTGTAAAGTAACTAAGTWCGAATTTTTGGGTATCTGTACTTTACTTGAGTAATTATTTTTCAGCCTACTTTTTACTTCTACTTCTTACATTTTCACACAATTATCTGTACTTTCTACTCCTTACATTTAAAAAAAAAGGCAGAAAGTCATTAGGTTTTTTTTTTATTTTTGCTCGTTTTCATTCCAGATTGTTATTGAAAAATAAATACTATCCAAATAAATTGTGCCTCCTAGACAGAGTGAATTTAATTGTGGTTGAATGAGAAATATAAATATATAAAATTCTGATACCGCATTAGTTTGTACACAAATAAATCATGTCACACTCCAGCAGGACATAGTCATTAAAATAAAAGTACTGTACTTAAGAAGTATTTGTATTTCATGAATTATATTGCTGCATTTGGTCGCAGCCCTCGGATTGATTTTCATTTTGGGGAAAAGGTTTGTTCAGCCTTGATATACAGCATGTATATAAACTGAAACAGCTGGACTAGTGCATCCTAAATTTAACATAAATTAATTATTTTAATACGATATGGTCATTTATGCATTTTTATGGGAGGTTGCCTCCTAATAAATGTCATTACTAAAATCGAACTGATCATTTTAAATTTTACTTTTAATACTTAAGTACAAAAAATATCAGATACTTTAAGACTTTTACTCAAATAATATTCCTAAAGGAGACTTTAACTTTTACTCAAGTAATGTTTTGGTAAGATATTGCACTTTTACTCAAGTGTCACTTTGTGGTACTTTATAGCTACAACACTGGCTTTAACCATGTCTTCATCACACCATCCAGTCCTCGTGAATCCTTGTGTGAGAACGTCAAGAATCTTAGAAACAAAAACTATTTGTAGACATCGTTTTTTTTTTTGTTTGTTTGTCAGTAGATATCCAGCACCACAGTTTTTATGCTATTTCAACAATTTATATATTAAAACATTCCTTCAGGATATTCCAGCAATGACTTTTGATACTTCAGCATTTTATACTTCTTGAGATATTTAGCTTTTTCAGCCATTTTTTATTAAGTTTTTTTTAAAAAAAGAGACAGCTCAAATATAAATGTCACCATTTGATGCACTCAGATTATATATAGCATTAGCTAATTTGCAACAGCAGTCCCTTGACAAGTTTCAAAATAGACATAATACATCTCCGGCATCCTTAAAAAAACCTTCAAATTGTTCATGAATCTTGTAATTTTTAAATTTTTGTTCTGGTTCTGCTTTACAAAAACTTCTTTGTGCTTATTTCAGCTTCCTTCGGCTTCTGTTTTGCTGATTTGAGCTTTTCTCTGCCTTTTTTAGCCACAATTCTGACCTTTTCTGTGCCAATTTGAACAATTTGTGCTTTCAGCTTCTTTCTGCTAATTTAAGTGTTTTATGCTTCTTTCAGTTGTGTTCTGCTAATTTCAGCTGTTTTTATGTTTTTAGCTACTTTGATTTTTTTCAGCTATTTATTTATGTAGTTTCCCCCTCCAAATCTTTTAGCATTAAGCATTCATCTTCCATTCTTTGCCGAAAAAAAAAGAGCCCATTCTTGTCATCAGACCGCCTGGCTCACGTCTCTTTTCGTTTTTAGGTGATATTAACGGCAGACACGCCCATTTTTGGCAACCCTGGTGGGATCATCTTCACCTCCACAGATGCTGGGGCCACGTTCAGATTCATCCAGCTGCCCTTCCACCTGGCTCAGCCCATCACCTACCACTTCCTCAACCCCGACTACCTGGTGGCCCTCAGCATCGACGTGAGCCCTTGACATTTCTCAGCTCTTAGAGCTCAGCCGCGCGTTCGTAGCTCACACATCAAGGACACACCTTAAAGTCAAAGCAAACGTTGTTGTTTCCTGACTTGCAGGGCAGTCTTTGGCTCTCTCTGGACTTTGGCGCCAAGTGGACAAAAGTTCACGACGGAGTGCATACTTTCTCGTGGTGAGAATAAACAGGAAGTAGAGTCCCGGAGCATGATGAGTGACAGAAGAGGCCTTGTAAAGATATTAGGAAGTATCAGAGTGCTCCAGGGGATAATGAAGAGTGAACTGAAAACAATCTGTRAGAAAAATGTTGGGACATTCTGACTGTGTGTAATGTTTGACACTTCCTGTTTCGTTTTAGGGGGGCGGGCATAAATTTGTTCTTCAGTTGCAGCCTGGTAGATGCAGGTAAGAGACAAGAGTCGCCTTTTTAAAAAAGCTGTAAACACAAGCAAAAACATGATCATCCTCCTTTAAACATGGCCCAGTTTTATGATTAAACGTAATTTTTTTAGTTGAAGCAGAAGAGAGGGGAGACTTAGTGCTGAAGAGGACGAAGGATCTGGGTCAAACCTTCACCATCATTCATGAGGACGTCTTCAGTTTTGGCTACATCGGAGCGTTCCTCTTCTTCTCTGTCATGGAGGACTCGGTAAGAATTGCCCCTAAACATACATGAATGTGCAAATCGATGCCTCATTAGACTCTCTTTAAAATACAGTCCTCTGACGATAAACTGTTTTCCTATTAGAGGTCTCCTCGGGTCATGTACTTCTCATCGGACCAAGGAGATTCGTTCAGTCAGGCCCTTCTGCCTTCTGCTTCCACTGAGCAGGTGAGAACAGCAGCTGTTTCTGCTCTGTTAAAAACAAAAACTGTCCTAAAACGGTTAGTTTGCTTAATGCCTGTTTAAAAAAAAAAAGAAAAGAAAAAGACAAACGAAGGTGTCAACATTTTATTTTCATCACCCAACTGCTCTGATGAAACTCACGTCSTGTTGACATTACAAATAATCTCACGGTTATTAAACCGTGTTTATGCAGGGGATTCAATTAGTCATCCACAAAACAAAAAAAAAAAATCTGCTTGTTCAGTTTGTTTCTCACCCAGATGTGCTTTACTTTCTTTTGTTGTGTGTGTTTGCAGTTTTACTCCATCCTGGACGGGGACGAGGACATGCTCTTCTTGCATGTAGACAACCCAGGAGGTATGGGAGCAAATAGAACCAACACTTAAAATGGGCGTTGTTGATCTCTGACTGAAAGGACGGGACAGTTTATGGCTCTTTCAGCTCTTTTTTTTTAATTATTGTGTGTTGTTGTAATGGAAAACCTTGACAGGAAGCGTCCAACTGGTTCTACAAGTTCTGTGATGCTGACAAATCATCTCCTCAGAGTCTGTGTTCAGTTATCATYGGATCTACTGTCGCGTCACTTTCAGGATTTTGTCACGCCGTTTTACCTCCGGCGGCCTTTCTGCTCTGGTGAAAATGGGGCTTTTGAACTGCAGATGTAAATAGAGGAGACCCAGGGTTAGGTGGGCTTTATCTTTTTTCTTAGCGGCGGGGGAGGGGGATTTAGGTTACGCTGTAAAAGCTGACAGTCTTGTCAGTGGATATGGGCGTGACACGAAGACGTGCACGCTCCCTCAGCTGGGCTCGACCTTCATGCTTTTAGCTGACGTGTGTGTGTGTGTGTGTGTGTGTGTGTGTGTGTGTGTGTGTGTG